TTTTTTTCTAACTTTTGGGAATTACTGCATTGATTCCCACTGGGAAGCTTTGTTTTTCTGTCATAGATTTGGCTTGCCTAGACTTCCACAAACAGAGAAAAAAATTCAGTTCTGTTTCTTTCCTCTTATTATCAACAAGGTTGGGATGTAGCAAAATGCTGAAAAATTCTTTTTTATTTCTATTTTTATTATGTATGGAGCATATTGAACTCCATTCTTGGGCTAGAGCAAGCATTATAACAGAGACTGTTCCTCCAGGTTGTGCTGCTTCATCATCTTTTTTCCCCTTCTGTCAAGTGTTCTTCATTAAGCAACATATTTGGAAGAAAGGACTCTGGCCAGCAGCAAAGTTGCTTTTCTTTCTGTCTCTCCTACTTTGCTATATTGACTCTTAAATGTGGTAGCATGTAGGTTCCTGCCTAGTATGTATCATTCTTCTGGAAGTATTTACTGAAGCAGTCAGCTGGTACACCCTGGTTCCCCAACAAGTACCTGCCCACTACAAGATTAGGCAATGGTAGTACTTAAAGGGCTTCTGCTTTTTCATACTTGTTTCTTTGGAAGGACAAGATTGAAGTCTTACTTCTGGATGCCGTTAAAAAGAGGAATGAATTTGCAGCTTAGAGCATGTTTTGAGAGCGTATTAAGTTCTTCTGACATGACTGTTATCAATAGTATCAAAGTATCACATAGCCAAAAAACCTGCCATTGCCCTACTACATGTATTTATGAATTCCTTAATATGTGATACTGTACATTGAAAAGATACTCTTTTAAAGCGTCTAGGACTAGCATTAAAAAGTCACGCATAAGGTGGCAATAATATGAATGGTACTTTTGCTGAAGCAGATTTTTCTTAAAAGTAAGATGGAAACCAAAAGGCCTGCTTAGTTTAAGGTATATATTTTTAAAGGTGCTTTGTCTATCTGATTACCCTTTAAGTAAGGTGCAAACGAGTATTTTCTCTAGAAGAGAAGCAAGTTTAAAGTAGTTACAATTACAAAATATTTCATGCATTGTGGTTAATTTGAGAGACTCTTTACTTGGTCCCATTTTAGTAATTCAAGTAATTGATCTTTTTATATGAAAAATGGTGCTGTCCTTCCTGCATTGACACTTTAGAAAGTGATGACTAGTTTAGCTAAGGAAATGTTTCTTTTTATGCTGTTCCGTTACATACTTTGTTGTTCTGCAAAGGTGTTGTCTTGCTCTGAGTTATGCAGCTATGCTGTCCGTTGCAGGTGCTGTTGCACATGTCCATAACATAAATCATTGTAGAATGAGCAGACGGTTTCTTATATATCTAAAAACTTACATGGTCAAAGAAAGTTTCAGTTTATCCTTGAAGCAATGAAATTACTTTGAAAGACCAAAAATATTAGTGCCTTCTGTTTCTACCCCGCATGGTCTTTCTACCTCTGTCCCTACTGGTTCCCATCAAGATAGAAAACGTAATATATCTGTCACTTTTCTATTAATCATTTAAAAAAGGTGAAGTCTTTGTAAGTCATGATAAAGCGATGTTATTTCCTTCTGTATAACACCACTTACCACTTAGTTCTTGTTATTGAGAACTCTGTTGTAATTCTTTAAAAGCATTTTCTGTACTGAGCAGGTGATGTGTAGGGATAGCCACACACAGACTTGATAAAAAGTGTCCTAGTTTCGTCATTCATGTGTATATATGAATTTACACATATTTATATATGAGACTCTCAGGGGTCAGGTATGTTGACTCTATCCATTCTTTTAACCTGAATGAGGGGTGAGGGGGAGAGAAACTTCAGTCCTGGAGGAAAATTGCCAAGGTAGAATGGAATGTATTGGACTTGATTACTTGGAAAGAATCACACACTTTTACACTTTGCCATGCATTTCCTTTGCCCCAGGCAGGACAGTTTCACATGGCTGCTGAACAGAGATATTTTTCTACACTTTCATTTAATGGTTATGCCAATTCCTTGACCTGCTGCAGTTCAGGAAGGAGGTCTGAAAATTTGTGCTTCTCCACCTTCCATTACTGAAGTTGTGTGATAGCTGCCTCTCATGTGAAAGAAAGTACTCTATCCTTCTGGAGAGAGTGGCTTTCCTTGTAGGTGCAGGAGAGGGGTTTCAGAACGATCTTTGGGGTTTTTTCTTTTCCTTTTTGTAGTCCACCTGTTTAAGTTTTGGAAAACGTAGGGTGGCCTAGCACTTTTTCTCTGTATGGCAAGGGACAAGCAGCTTCTGTAGAACAGGCCATTTCTGTACCTTCAGCTAGAGAAATCAGAGAGGAATGGCAGGGAAAGGCTTGTAGGAAGAGGGCTGCTTTTGAGGCATGGGGTAGACTTGTCTTCATTCAGGTATGAAACTGGGAATAAGACTGAAAGTGTGACTGCTGTGCTCTGAAAGCGCCTGAAAGCCCCTCTATCTGAGGGGTGATTAGGAAAACTTAAATTATTCAGCATGAACTATTTTTTCTTCCATGTTCTTTTGTCCGTGGAAGTGAAACATAAATTTAGGAAGTTGATGCTTCTGCAACTGCAATTACATTTTGCAGTCTATAATTGCCTCATATTGGTCAGGAATATCTAATTATGGGACTTTCAAAATTCTAAATTAACTTGCATGTTTGTTGTAATTGAGGAAAGCAGAATATCTCACACAGTTCTTAATTGTCATAATTTCCTTATATGTCCTAATTTAAGTAGACTTTAGCGTGTTTGACTAGTGTATTTTACTTAATGCTCAGTATTTATAAGATTTTATCTTTTAGGGATAAAGGTTTATGTCATTGAAAATGTATATGGTGAAAAAAGTTTGGGAGATAATAAAAGAAATAAAAGTTTTGAGCATTTTATATACTCTACAGTATGATACAGAGATTCTTTGCCAACTGGCTTAATTTTGAAAACTGTTCTGGTTTATGAATGGTTTGCTTGATTTCTTCTGCTGCTGTACTAGTTTTAAATAAATAGGTAGAGCTTCCAAAATTGGGGATAAACTAGACTGTGTTTTTTCTTTACTGTCACGTATTGGGTTCCATTTGCCTTTTTTCAATAAAGTTACCTATTGCTGATCACTAGCCATTTCTCCCTTAAAATGATTATTTGTGAAATATTAGTACTTTTACTTTAGTTCTGAATGTGTTTGGCAAAGGATAATGATGGTAATCTGCCTTTAAGTCTCTTCAGAGCAATGAGAAATGGCATATACCACAGGGTGCAAAAAACATTTTTAAAAAAACCAACCAGCCAAACCACTCCAAGACTTGAAAAGCCAATGGAACACTGTTATCAAAGTGTACAGAGAGAGAGCTGATGAGTGATGCATTTGGAGTAAGTAATGAAACTTAAACTTCAAAGAGATGGCACAGATTTATTTCTTTCTTTTTAGTTAATGTAAACCTGTGACAATGCTGAACTTCAGGTTTATTTTGAGTGCTCTGGTCTTTGCACTTAGCTGAGCAGTGGTACCAATGCTAAATTAGGAACTCAGAGAGGAAGAGCTCATACTTCGTTTTCCCAGTTATTGCAAAGTGTTGCAGTGGTGGCTTCCTTGAGCTGTAAGCTGAACTAGAAGATGTTGAGAGTAACATACGGATGTTGGGGTGGACGGGTCTTACTGGTATTTATATTTTCAAAGTGTTGAAAATCTTGTTAATTAGCATAGCTAATTAGGCATATAGGTATCTGCTGTTCTTAAAATACTAGGTTTTTGTAAGGGGAGAAGTTAGTTGCTTTCTGCGTACAAGTATTATAACGTAAGCCATTAAGATAATTAAGTAGTGGAGCGTAACACAGCAGTATCTCTACTCTGAAGATGGAGGAACCTTAAAGCTTGTCTTATCAAGCTTCATTAAATTTATATTCATACCTTTTTATATAGTTATTATTGCAGTCTATGATTTTAATCTAAGATTATGAGAACGTGACTGTTCTACTTAGTTATTTGACAAATAAGTTCTTTTCTTGCTGCAACCAATCTGTGTTTTTGCTAACAATACACATATATTTGATATTCATGCTAGCTCAAGAGATTTTCATTTTTTTTAAAAAGTATGCCGAAATTATTGTACTGATACGCACAACACTCTTGACATTTTTTATTTTTATTTTTCAAAGTTCACTACGTTTCAAGTAGCTTAAATATCGAGTAGTGTTCTACACTTTGACCTACACAAATAAACTTTTACCTTACTGGAATGCCAGACTGCAACCACCTGGTCTACTCTTTGAAAACGGCCTGTTCACATGGCTTAGACAGTGGGATCTGAACCAGTGCGTGGGGGCTAGTAACTTTTCTTTCCTTCTCTTCAAGGAAATTTTCGAGAAAAGGTTTTATTTAAACTGGCTAAAGAATAGATCTTTCTCAGGCAAAGCTTGCAATAGCCTTATAGCATTCTAGTCTGCTTCAGCTGATGGAACTTCCCTTTCACTTGTGTGTGAGTTTTAAGAGAACAGGATGTCTACTAAGTAGTCTTTATAAATTGGTCAGACTTACAGTTGCAGGTTTCCAGTACTTGCAGTCTGTTGGTTGCGCAGTATTGATAGTGTAGCAAAAACTATTGCACGCTTGTTTTTCTTTGCATTCATTTGTCTTTTTGTGGGGTTGTTTGTAGCAAGAGAGAGAATCAAAAGGTAGCATAAGTGAGGAATAAATGGGTAGGGTCAAAGAAACCCCAAACCCAAACAAAACTCTAAGATTGTTAGATAATAGCAACTAGTATCCAGCCAGTAGCTATGGTTTGAAACGTGCAGTGTATTGATAAGAAGGATGTCTGAATTAGACTGAGACTATTGCATCCAAAAGCCTTACTTTATATTGGCTTGAATCTCTGGGTGAAAATGTTATCTGTTCTTAGTCTGGATCTTGAATACCGCCTGTCATTTTGCTTGTGAACTAAAGAAACATTTTAGTGGAGGACTTGAAAGTCATGTTTTAGAGAATACTCTTAATTGTGAGATAAACAGTAGACTCTGATCATCTTGTGCCAATGTGTTTTCTTGGCTTCATACTAGTTTTTGATGATGGTGATGAGAGGACCTTGAGACGAACTTCATTATGCTTGAAGGGAGAAAGGCACTTTGCAGAAAGTGAGGTAAGACAGTGATGGACATGCAATGAAAACTAAATAAATTAATTTATATTTTTTATAATAAGAAGAAATTGCAAACTGATTTTGTTTCCTCTTTTTCCATTTAGACACTTGATCAACTGCCACTAACCAATCCAGAGCACTTTGGAACTCCAGTTATTGGGAAGAAATCTAATAGAGGAAGAAGATCATCTCTTCCTGTGTGAGTTTTGATGGTGCTTTGTTGCTTTCCATTCCTTTAGTGTCCTTTGATAAAACCAAAGTTGTACCATTGAAGCTGTAGTGGTCTGAATGCTCTATCATGTGAGCTGTATACACAGCTTATAGACTTCAGTAATTCAATTCATGCAGATGCGTTCCTGTGTTAGCAGTATTATGAAATTGATTGGGTTTTTGCTTGTAGTAGCCTTAAGTGTTTATGCTTCTTTCATATAATAGGAACTCATGTCAGGAAATGTAGGATTTTTTTTAACTTTCTCTCTACTGCACAAAGTAGGAAAGAAGGTGCTTTTCAATTTCTGGGGTAGAGACTGTTTCTCTTTGTTTCATGTCTGTGCACAATCAAATCCTGATTCATGCCTCCAATTCCAACATGATGCTGTTTTAAAATACTACTGCTTGGAAAGAATTTCTACACAATTCCTCTTACTGAGTAAGTGCACTTAATGTTTAAGTGTGTTTCAAGCAATTTCAGCTCTTAAAATTCTAATTTTGTTTTTGAAGCTTTGCAGAACAGGGAGAAAGATCTGATTCTAAGCTGTATTTGCTTTCAAATATTAACTTCAGGCGAAAACTTTACAATACTGTATGTTTTAACAATTTAGTACTGAAGATGAAAAGGAAGAAGAAAGTAGTGAAGAGGAGGATGAAGATAAAAGGCGTCTCAATGATGAATTGCTTGGCAAAGTTGTGAGTGTGATTAGTAATTCTGAGAAGGCAGACTGGTATCCAGCTTTGGTAAGTTGCTTAAGACGTTGACATCTCTAGTGTCATACTACTAATATCTTTCTAGACAAGAGTGTCATCTGACTCGTTACATTATTTGTACAGTGGTTTTCCTGCGTAGGATGGTTTGCAAACTTCACAACTTTTACAGCAAAGTTGCAGAACAGTCAGGCTAAGCTCGGCTACCCATATTTGCTAAAAATACAAATATTTTCTAGTGTCTGTGAAGAGTAGGAGAGCAGAGATTAACGTTTATGTATAAGGTAACAGTTTTATGGCTCTTAAGTCTTTCAAAACTGCATGTAAAATGATTGGTATGTAACAGTATTTTTCTTGCAAAAATAAGATACGTTAGGACTTGCACTCCCAGGCAATTTAAGAGCAACTAGATGTATAAATTTTAATTGCAGTGCAGTTTTTACCTTTTTGTATTTAATTATTGCCTTTTTCCTTAGACTTTCAATTTCATGAAATACTAGTTCCTTTCATGCTTGCATTTACATAAGTGGTGAGCTGCTCTAGCAGTAGAAGTTGGTTATTATTTTTATTTGGTTGTCAGTAGAGGATACAGCTGTTCATTGCCATTGCTGCTAATAAAGATATATTAGATAAATTCAAGTACAAGTAGATTTGTACTGTAAAGGTAGACACTTTGCAGTTTTTTTATATGCACAGAAAAGTTTATGGATGCATATTAAGAGTTGCTTGCTTTAGTAAACTTTTTGGTATTGTCAGGCAAGCTGAATACATATCTTCTGTCATCCATCACAGATGTGTTTTTAAAAAAATTATTAAGAGCATTAAACATGCAGGTTTGGTTCACTAATTTTTGCAGATTTTATTTACTTAACTGTATATTCTGTAGTCCTTTATTTTGAGTCTTCATGGTTAGCTGGAATGAGCTTGGCTGTTACAATCTTCTGACTTAGTTTAACATTTTATTTCCTTGTTTGAATCCAGGATCAAAAGGTAACTAACTACACAGGCCAGTGGTTTTCCCTTCCTTGAAAAAACATTATGGTGTAATGTAGGGTCAATAGTTGACACTGACTTATCCAGCTGTATGTATCTCAGTTTAAAATGTGAAATGCGGTATTGTTGTACACATTCCAATTGTTGTATATCCCTTTACTAACAGCAGATTTGCACTTAACATGGTTCTAACTAGGGAATTAAGTTACTGGAGGCCCTGCGCCAGTTCTGTTCTCTGCCACCTGAGAAACAGGAATGTTGTTTCTTGATTTTTGGGGTAAAATTCTGACTCATCTGAATGGGGTGGCACAGCTTCCACTGAGTTCTGGTAGATCCAGAAGTTCATCTGCATTTGACTTTTTTTGTCTGTATATGGTCTAGAGCAAAGTGTAAGCTTGTTCTCTTTGTGGTAATACAAATCCCGCAAATGTATTTTTATCACCTTTTTAGACTTTAGAGTTGATGCTGCTGTGGAAGGATGCGCTGGATTCCACACTGGCTTATATTATCCACACCTCAAAAAAAACCAGAAAACTACCTACCTTTCAGTTTGAATGCCAAAGATCCAGAAGCTTGTATAAAATAAGTGGGTCTGGGTCTTTTTAAATAGATGCTTTAAACAGGTTTTGTATGAACAAGAGAAAAAAAGCAGAGTGAATAAACAGGATGCCATGATGTCACCCCCGTAAGAGTATTTTTTCAGTTTACAAATGAAATTGCAAACTTTTCTGGCTTGTACATAACAAGTAGAGTTAATAGTTTGAGGTAAAATATTTCTTGGAATTTGTCATTGTTGGCCTTAGTAATATAAATTGGAGTAGGTTTCTTTTCTCAGAACTGGAGAATTTCAGAACTAGAAATTACAATAGAAGAAACAGGAAAACAGCAGCTTTCCTGCTGTCCATCTTTCTTTCCTTTCAGCGTCAGCTTTTTTTATTTTTTTTTTGCTTAAAAAAAGTGTTTTATTTGAAACTTTAGGTTGTGTCTCCGAGCTGTAATGATGACGTCACAGTGAAAAAGGACCAGTGTTTAGTTCGATCCTTTGCAGATTCCAAATTGTAAGTAATAGCTTACTTTCATTAGATGTATATGGGAGAAAAAGTAAAACTGATTACATTTTGCTTCTGAAGACATTATTTCTTCCAAAACGAAAGGGTACAATTTTGTGTATTATTGGTTGTGCACGTTTGTCGTTCATAGTCCATTTCCAGCTAAAGTCTTCTGTGCTTACTTGCCCACCCTTACGTTGTGTGTACTGGTAAGAGTTCATTGGATTAGTGAAGTTTCTGGTGTTTCCTCATTTAAAAAAAAAAAACAAAAAAACAAACAAAAAAAAAACCAAACAAAACTTTGGGGGAAACCAGCTGTTAACACTTTAGATGATTGTGGTTCTTTGAAGTGTGAGGTTTGGTTTCCCTTAATGTCTTAATTATTACACCTTTATGGGTGTCTGTTGTAGTAGTTTGGGTATCTGCTTGAGTCGTTACCTGCAGTGCCCAGATGTCCATTGCTGTTTAAATAGCAATGGTTAAAAGTGTTTAATCTACTTTTTTAATAAAAAACCTGAATGTAAAGTAACTATTTAATTAAAATTTCTACAGAATCAGCACCAAAATTCCTGGGAAAAGAAGGGTCCTATTAGATCACCCCCCCAAAAAAGGGCGGGGGGGAAGGAGAGAGAGAGAGGTGTGTCCTTCCTACAGAATAATATATTCAAAAGAATACAAAGACTTTTTTAAAGCTGTTTCCCTTTATTTCTCTTTATCCTTACTTCTAATGCATCTGTCTCAACATACTGTAACTGAAAACTTCTTGCTGAAGGCCAGCTGTCACACCTCTTTCTCTCTTTCTTTCAAAGTGAACAGTTTGTGATTTTTTTTTTTAAATTTTTTTTTAATAACCATGATTTTGAGTAGGGTGTGAGTACTTGGTTACTGAAACATATTTCAAGTAACTGAAGTCTTAATTCATTTCGGCCTCTTAATCTAGACCTGTATCATCAGCCTTCTAGATAAGTCTGGTTCTTTATATACTGAAGGTAGAATGTTATTGGAAAAGCATGCAGACTTGCTTTGTTTTACTTTTTTTTTCCCCATAGTATTATGGCTTTAACTTCAGAAAATGGCGGCCTCCAATTCCTGAGGTTTTACTCCAGTTTTTCTGAAATAATGAAAGAAGAAAAAAAATCTTATTATAATAAAACTCACTTGTAAGGCTTTCCTTGCAGGTTGGTTAGCATTTCTATTGTAGTAATTCAGTAACTGAATATTCAGAGCAACTTCCACTTTTGTAACTTAAAAATAGGAGTCAAGTATTTATTAATGCAGATATGTGAATTTGGCTTCACTGTTGTTCTGTGCTAGTAAAAATGCATTTTGAAAATGGAGGGCCTGTTTCTTCTTAGCTAGATTGTTGTTTTGGGTAACAACTGTTGATTGACGTGCATATCTTCAATTTAGAAAATGTTTTTTGCCTGTGTAGAGTATTTTACCTTTGCAAATTTGTGCAGGTTAAACATTTAAAATAAAGAAGCTTTACAAACTTTTCTTAATCATTTAATTACAAGGATTCTTTTAGTGCCTGAATTTCAAAGAAAGATGGGAAACTTACTCTGGTTTTGAATCTTGTATTAGGACATACAATAACAAATGCCTTATGCATTTAATTGTTAGGATGGACCTTGAAAATGAATGATAAATCTTGAAAATTTTAGAAATTGCTTTTTTCTTTTTAAGTCAATTGTGTACTTCACTTGCTTTTTGTTATTTAAAAATAACACAACTTTATTCTTTTTCAGTTATTCGGTTGCAAGAAAAGACATTAAAGAATTAGATGTTCAAAACTTACCAAAATCTGAGTCCTCTCCTAAAAAAGGTAAATTAGAATAAATGCTAGGTGTTTAAAAAGTGATGGCCTGTTGATTTCTGATATTTTGATATTTTGCAAACAATTTTAAATGTGGTAAATTAGAGAAACTTTGGATATAGCTGCTTTATTATTAAAATAGCAGTGTTGTTCTAATAAAGTTCTACTAAAATAGTAGAAGTGTTGTTCAGTTGATTTTTTATTTCGTTCTTTAGATCCACTCCAAATTAGTGGAAGCGAATAGAATATTTTCAAAGTAGAGTATTTGAAATGTCATTGAACAATGGAGTATACAGTTACCTCCCCTAAAAGCAAAGTTTTGTGCTGTTGCTCAAAACTCTCTGTCTTTACATTAAAAATACCCAGGCAGCAAGGTGTGAACTTTATTAGAACAGCTTGCCTGTGATTAATGTTTGATTTAAAAGTGTAATTACAGAACTTGATTTCTGGATGGATTGATGATGTGACTACAATAATTGATGTTTTTAGTGAGCTTGTAAAAGGCCAGGTTGTCACTTTAATGTAAATAATTCTTAAGCTTTTAGTGTTGTTTCTCCCAATCAGACCTCAAAACACAAGATTTGTTAAGGAGAAGTATTAAGGAATATAAGGAGAAATGGTTTAAAAAAGACTTTAGACAGATTTCTGGAGGTGACTGTCAGCAGCTATTAAAAACTGGTGCCCGTTCTTCTCCAGCAACACACTGAATGATTCATTGCAATATGTCCCTCTTTTGGGTATTCTTGTGATTTCCTCTTTATTGAAGTCTTTTATAGTGTCTGGAGGGGCATGTTTTGGCATTATCTGGGTTTATTTTGCTTTGTTGTTTTTCCCCTTGGAGCACTTCTTCAGGGAAGAGAATTTGATGTATTCCCATTGTACAAGTGTGACTTCTTCCCATCCCATCACTCCCTTATTCACTAGTGTATTTTTCCCATGTTCCAAACATTAATGTAACATCTCTTTAGGCAATGCTCTTAAGGAAAATACTTGCATTTGTTTGCAATCTAAACTTTAAGACATGAAGATATTTTGAAAGGAACAAAGTCAGTCATGGTACTTGATTTAACTGTGGTGGGTTTGTTTTGTTTTGAATAGATTTATTAGTGTTTGTCTCTTTCGTACAGAAACAGAGCAGTTCACAGTTGCACAGAATATATGTGGATACATACAGGTGCTTATCTTTGGTAGTGTTCACATACATAGGTGTAAATTGTAGTAGTGTTCATGGGGATCTATGCCTAGAAAGCAACTGGATGCTGTGTGGGATGGATGTTCTCAACTCTCAAATCCTTGAGTTACCGATACTTGATTTTTAAAATTTGAGTGTCTCAAAATGTAAAGTGTGTAGACTGAATGTTTAAAACTGAAGTATCTGTTTTATCACTTATTTCCATTGTTGGTTTAAGATGGCATTGTAATTTACAAGAGGGTGAAAAGGAAATTAAAAATGCTTTGTGACTCTGAATACTATGGCTGAGGTAAAACCAGGGCCCTTTCGTCTGTAGGGCTACAGGAGGCCAGCACGTTTCTCAACACAAAGGGTGTTCCTCGGAACTGGAAAATGGACATAAGTGAAATTCTGGAGTCCTCTAGCAGCGATGAGGAAGATGGAGCTGCTGCAGAAACTGATGAAGAGGAAGAAAAAAGAGAAGAGAAAACCGAAGAAGTAGTGGTAAGTCTGGGCAATTTCAGTGATTCTTCAAAGATAATTGAGTAACTTGCATGCCTGAAGGTCCTGCACTTTCCAATGTTTTACTCTTGGATGTAGCTTACTCACTTCAACATCTTTTCAGACCTGTTCATCTTCCCTTTGCTACCAGTCATCTTTATTGGGGTTTGTGAGCAGTGGCAGATTGCCTTCTAGTATCCAGTTCAGAAATTGGAGACAAATCTCAGAAATAAAGAATTCGAGGCAGAGAAGAGTGAAGGAAAGAATCTGGCTCAGAAGGAAAGACATAACTAAAAATATTGATGCCAAGCCTAATAGTATAGCAATCCAACTGTAAATTAAAATGACTTTGTATTTTTCTTTTGTATTTAATATGTAGCTTATATAAAAAGTAACTGGTTTTCACAGTAGTTTGCTTAAAATAAAAGACAACTTTTAAAGCAAAAGTATTAGGCTGAGTGAAAGTGAGCTTTTCACTTTCACACAGTGCCTGTTAAAGCTATTTGGTGCCTAAGACACTGTTGAAGAGCAGTACGGGCGTTTCCTTTGTAAGTGTTAGGGGTTTTTTTCTGAACACCAGTATTACCAGTTAGGAATGCTACGACGTGGATGGACTTTCTACTATTTAACAGTGGTATGTTTTTCTGCATTGGAATATTTTGAGTGGCTCCTTTTCCACAAAGTTAGCCAGTTTCTTCATGGCATCAAAAACGTCTCTACAGAATTGCCTTTTATTTCTGCCACCTGTTTTTAACCTTGATGTTACATTTAGAAGGGGGGGTGGAGGTGGTTGTGAGGTTTGTTCCGCTTGTGTGTTGTGTGTGTTTGTTTTTTTTTCCCGTCGTGCGATTTTTCACAGTACGCTCGGAAACATTCCTTTCTTTATATAGAGGTGGGGGGGGAAAAAAACCGAGCGAAGTTTGTCTTCTGAGGAAGGCCAAACACCGTTTCCCTTTCGCTTCCCCGGCAGCGTGCGGTTTTGTCAGGCCGAACACAGAATGGCCGTTCATACTTGCAGGCGGCCTACAGCGTTGCCACGGCAACCGACTGTTGGTTGGCAGTGCG